AACAAATTTGGCAGCAGAAGAGTATATTTTCTTGGTTTGTGCTCTTGGGCAATTATTTAAATTATCTGGACTTTAACTTTTTTTTCATTAGCCCTCATATTATGAGAATATTTACATCACTGGGTGTTGTGAGAACCAAATACGTTTTACATGTGTGATGAACTAAGAATAATTATTTTTATAATGAAAGAAAAAAGTTAAAAGAAGATGGGGAAGAGTAGCAACTGTGATGACAGGTTCATCAATTTAATCCTTTCCTGACTCCTGGTACATACAGTAACCACCTACATGTTCTGCCACTGCGTGTTAGTGGGAACTTGTTATCCCAATTTCGGTGTGTGCTGCCATCTGGTGGGGACCTGTGTAACTGCATGAATCTGAAAAAAACTCACCAACCTCAGGACCAGAGACTCTTCAGGACGAACAATTCCCACTAATGGTATCAAAATTCATATTGTCTCAAAACATTTTTCTTTTTTTCAAAATGCTCTCCAATACTGAAACACATGGTTTCAAGAGAAGAACCATCAGCAGTAATGATATAATGATGAAAAGTGGTTGTGCTAGCAGCTTATGGGGTTGCCCTTGATAGAGATGATTAATAGGATCCAACTACCTCTATAATTTCAGACACGACTACGATATACATACAAAGGTACACCTCTCAGCACTGCTGGATCCCTTGCCTTTCTCCCTTTAACATGTTCTAAAGACAGCGCTGCACCTGTTTAAGGATCATGTTTAGAAAAAGAGAAAACCAAGTTTTCGTCATTAAAATTCTGAGATTATCACAATAGTATACAGAGTTACCCAATTCAGTTCAATAACATAGACTACATGAGACCATTTATTACAATAAATAAAAAGCTTAAAGGATGAGCTACAGAACAGAAATGAGATAAGTATGTGGTCCTAGAGCTAGGCCAAAAGAACCCACCACAAAATTCTGCTAATTCTTCAAGAAAAAGCATTAAATGCAATTTGAAAGAGGAAAGTACAAAATAATCTGATCAGTAGTATAATAATTAATTATCTAAGTTAGGTCCGCAAATCTCAGAAAAAACGTTGATTAGATTCTTTGGAACTGAGTGATACAGCTGTACTTTGCTCATGGCTAAATCAAGCCCTAAATCTCATTTAATGTCACCATTATTTGTGAAGTTCCACAAATGACTCTAAAGTGAAGCCAGAATGGAGACTCACTGTAGTGAGAAAATGAGCAGACGGTATTCTTCTTATTAGTTGGATTACATCTCAATATTCACCTTAAGGAGGCAGAGTTAGCATCTGGCAATATTTTTATTATTTTCCTACCTCTGGATATAATTTCCATATTAATCCAACCCATGAACTACAATATTATTTGGAATAAGACCTATTCAGAACATCTAGCAAAGTTCTCAAGCCATGGAAGGTGCTCAGTTAACATTTGTTTACATATGAATACTTTTTATTGCATATTTTATCATGCAATTGTACACACTGCCTATTCTTATGAATTCATATTAAGAAGCACCTAACAAAACTGGCGTAAGGCTATGCTCACTGATAACAATATATAAATCCTTAAAAGATGAAGGAATATCCTTTCCATTGCAAATTCCTAGTGAAAGATGGGAGCTAACGGTAACATACTATGTTATCAGTGATACATGATGTTTTGAATTGTGTTAATTTAAAGAATCTGGATAATAAGAGTGAGGTTGAGTATTTTAAGGGTCTGATAGGTTGATTGTGCCAACCTGGACGATAGGAACATGTGGGATTAAGCAGGTTACACATCAAGTCGATAGAGCTTGAGGCGTTACACCCTACTGTTGGTGTGTACATTGCTTGAGCTTGAGACTGGTGGATTCTGCTTGAGTTTGATAGTCGATCCAGGCCTGTTTCTCTAAGCTCCTGAGTTACTGACTGCTGCTGACCCACCCTGCTGTTTGTTGCCTGTGGGCAGACTGCCTGCCTTGCCTGAAGGAGGACTCTGCTGTCTCCTTCCTTGACCTTGGACCAGGCAGGCCAAGTGTGCGTTGAAGGACTTCCAGTATAATAACTGTTCCATGAATGTGAATTGACCTGAGCCCGCTGCACTACTGTGTGGACTAATTAGCTGTTATATTCCTTCTTGGTGTATAAACATTTATCTATCTATCTATCTATCTATCTATCTATCTATCTATCTATCTATCATCATAGGTGTCCTGGTTTTGTTTATACAGAGAACCCTGCCTAAAACAATAGGAATTTATAGAATCTTGAGATAATGGCACCAAATATTTTGTTTATTATAAATCTTTTATGTAAAGAATATGCTAAATGTTCTTTAGTTCAAGTGGGGCATTGCTTGAAAATTTAAAGGCAATTCGCCTAAGTCATTCTGGTTTCGTAGAAACATACTTAGTGCAAAAAGGATCTGGGAGCTTTAACTGGTAGTCTTGGTCTGACCATTCGAGCTTCTTATATAATATGCAGCAAGAGTTTTCTTCACTTGAAAAAGTTAGAGCCAACAAAAGTCTAAAAAGTTCTCTTCTGGTAGATGATGATTTAGCTCTAAATAACAGTATGTGCTGTTAGCCTATAATTTGCTATAGTAGTTGTTCTGGAAAACCCAAGAACATGAATATTGAAATTGGTTTGTTTGCTTGCTTGTTTATTTCTATTCTCAAGCAGTAGCTCTATTTCACCATACAGAAAAGTACACAAGGCTATCACATAGAGTTGTAGACTATTTTTGATTATGCAAGAAATGCAACTAAGTATTTAAAATCTAGTGAAGGTTTTAGGGAAATGTTTTGGAAGATAGAAAATAAAAATTACCAGACATTCATACGAGTGAGGCTGAAAAATATATGTTTAAGTGCCTGAGTGCAATTTCAAGTATATTTGAAGTTTAGGAGTCATAATTAACTACAAACCCAATGGCTTCCACTTTTATTTTATTCTTTCTCAGGGTAGATCACTTGCAACGACTGCAGCTAAAACCTGTTCTTAGCTAGAATTGTTCTTCACAACACTCATATTTTCCATTGGTTTCCGATCTCAGTTTTGGGAGCTGATCTTATCAGGACATACTTAATTAACTAGTTATGCCTACTGTTGCTAAAATGTGATAAAGGGGATGAACTCCAGTAACAATATTCTAAGGATAAGGAAGATCATGCTCATTCTTTATGAGACTATAGTTTACAAATTGCAGAATAAACCCCCATGCAACTGTCTCCCTCCTACTTACCACAGAAAGTCGATTGACAGCTCACATATGCCAAAGACAAGAGAAAGAGAATCTTGGGGGTACTCAGAACTCCAGAACAGGCTTTTTGTACAATAAATACTGACCTTAATCACTCCAAGGATTAAGAACTCCCACTGTAATACTCTTGTTTCAGCAGGAGTATGTATTAAATACCATAATTAATATTAAAGATACTGAGAACTGTTTCAGGTTGAGTTTTTTTGTGGTTGATGTTGTGTTACCAAAGAATAAGAAGAGCTTCAAGAAGCTTGTGGAAAAACCTAATGAAAAGAAAAGGGAATTCTTACATGAACTTTTCAAAAACCCCTCATCTATTTGGTTTTTGTATTGCGTGCTTTATCACATTAGGTGTCCTACTAAAGCAACAGGCTACGACGTACAACACGTACAACAATTCGAGTTTCAGTTAAATGTAAATATTCCTGAATGGTACCAGGAGGAAAAATATTTTCTTTGAAGCCCTCACATAGAACACTGTTGACATTCTCCTACTGCTGGAAAAGGTTGACTTTGTACCATGATTTTCCTTTTGCATTATTGGCACTTTGTGGTTAAGGGCAAAAGCCAAGTACATTGAATCAAGTGTGGAAATGTTTCCCTACTTCCTTTTTATTCCTCTCATCTCCTCTCACCATATACTGCCTCTATAGTCAACATGCATAAAAAGACCACGTGACAGGGACATGAAACCCCTTGTCAGCTCTTCTAGGAAGCGGACAGACAGACAGAAATTAATGTTGTTATGAACCTGTGCTACAGTCACTGAGTCACTTAGCAGAGATTAATTTTGCATATATACGAGCATGTTATTAAGTAGTAGAAATAATAACCATTTGCACGTTATTCTGTACAACATTTAAGAAAGGGATCTTATTTTAAATTACTCCACTTTTCCCAAATTATAGTGACTGTCTTAAACTAGCTGAATAAATCTGAAGGGTTTTATAAATGAAACTAAATTAGTTTATTGCATGCATTAATATAAAAATATCTGATGGCTAATGATTAAGCCAGACCTAAATCTGGGCACTATCCTACATCACTGTAGTCATATTGAATAGTGACTATTAAAAAATGAGAAATTGTCTACATCATATGAATGCTATTAATGACAGGACTTGTTTTTTTATTAAAATAGCAAGAATACAAATAGCTTATATCAGCAAATTACAGTACTGTTCAGCCTCCAATATCAACATTAAATCAAAGCTTATAGACAGATAAGGTAAAAGAACTAGGAGAATTTAGGAGAGGGGGAGAAAACATCAGTGAACTTGTTAATGTAGATTACAGAATTGTCACAGGTTCCCTCCCCCACAAAAAATTAAATGTCCTTTAGGTTGATTGCAGTACTTTAATTCTTTAAGGAATAGCTATTAAAATACAGATTTTTAAATCTTACATTCTTGACAGATATATCATCACCTACCTTCCTAAAAATAGGAGTCAACACAATTGTCAAAATGTATGTTAATCAGTCTTTGAGTTTGCATTACTATAGATTTTAAAACCCTAACACACTCCTACTTGCTGCGCACTCAAGCCAGAAAAGGCATGGAATTTATGTCTGGTTGGTTCCAAAGTGGGATCTTGGGTCCCAGGCCAGTCTTGGTAAACTGTGCTTAGATCGGCACAACTTCTCCAGCCAGAAAAGCATACATCACAGAGGAAAAGAACATATATATATATATATTAACCAATCAGTAATTTGAAATGCTAGGAAAGGAAAGGAAATCAGTTTTGTAAAAAACGCTTTTCCCTTTTTAATAAGTTTCTTTATTTACTCCAGACAGTTAACATAACAGGATTCAATAGTGCAGTGAGCGGATGTTACACTCACTTCTACTGTGTGGATAGAAAGAGCCATATGCATTTCTGTTTCTATAAGTCATCTCGGCTCACTGCGATATGGCACATGACAACAGAGATTCAGAGGCACGAAGTTAATAAATACATTTAACATTGTCAAGCATTCAAAAGATAAATGCAATCATATAGAAAAAAAACCAAAAACAAAGCCCCCCAAAAATCCGGGTAACTTTGAGCTTCCTCGAGGCTGTGAAGAATCTTCGTGTGTTAGAAATCTCTATAGCAAAGATTCCTACAAAAGAAAACAGGCAGAGATTGGTATTTTTAACTCAACAATCACATCATGCACAAAGACGGGAAATCAGCATTGCTTTGACAAAGGGATTCCTGGTGGCACTGTGGTTAAAGTGGTTGGCTGAAACTAACAGCCCCCAGGGGGAGAAGGAGCCGGCAGTCTATGCTACAAAGACTGATAGCCTTGGAGACCTGATGAGGCAAGTCTACACTGGCCTGTAGGGGGCTATGAGTCAGAACCCAGTGGAAGACTTTTTGGTTCTACAAACTGATGGATAAATTTTATATGAATTTCTTCCTGGAACACGCTCATTTATGATAGCGGTGCAATGCATTAAATGACTTCCCGGTGGTTTTTGTTTTTTTAATTGAGATTTCTAAACCCTGATCCTAGCATCTGTAAAGGAAAACTGATGCAGTGCGTTTTTCACTCCGTAGGAAAAGAGAGCCTTTTTGATTTACGAGGCAAAGCCACCTCTTGGTGATCAGCCTGGTTTCCAAATCTGTGGACGAGAGTGATCCTGTCCCAGCTCTTTGTAACTACCGTCCCTTCATGCAGTTTTTCTTCAGTAGCATCCCTAACAAGAGGAAAGTGGCAAAGGGGGAAAAAGCATAACTCAAATTAGTTTTGTTACTATATTAAATAATAAAACCTTGAAGACTGAAAGTTGTTTGCAATTTCAATGATAATGTTCTCCACTACCATGCAAAAAGAGATATTTATAATCTTTGAGGGGAAAAAAAACTATTTCTGCTAAAGTTTCACACACACTGCAACGTTCACCCTTGCCACCCACCAAAATAGTCCCTAAAAAATACGTTCTTATCAATAACTAGTGTCCAGCTTCTCTCAACTTGCTTCTAATTCATGGCAACCCTGTGTGGGCAGGCTTTTATTCCAAGGTTCCTTTGGGTGAGTTTAAACTCCAACCTTTTGGTTAGAGTACTCAAGGTCCTATTTGTACCATCTAGGGAATAGTACCTAGAGACACTCAGACTGATTCACCTTTTAAGAGTATCACGAATGGCCTTCCAAAAGGATAGGGAACCGTTCATTAATTCACCTAAATTAGGGATGGGGAATGCCTGGCTCGTGGGTCATATGTTGTTTTAGGCCCTATCGAGTCAGCTATGACTCACAGCAACCCTGTGCACAGCAGAACGAAACACTGCCTGGTCCTGCGCGTCCTCACCGTTGTGACCACTGTGCCAATCCACTTTACCACCCACGACGTCCCTCTCCAGGGACTGGTCTCTCCTGACAACATGTCCAAAGTCCATGAGATGCAGTCTCCTCATCCTAGCCTCTCAGGAGCACTCCGGCCATACTTCTTCCATAATGGATTTGCTTATTCTTTTGGGAGTCTAACATACGTGCAATAATCTTCTCCAGCACCATAACTCGGACGCATCGATGCTTCTTCGGTCTTCCTTATTCAATGTCCAGCTTCCACATGCGTCTGAGACAACTGAGAATACCAGGGCTTGGGCCAGGCTTACCTTAGTCCTCAAAGTACCATCCTTGTTTTCAATACTCTAAAGAGGTCTGGGGTTGGCAGATCTGACTACTGCTTGACAGCACTGATTGTGGATCCAAGCAAGATGAAATCCTTAACAATTCAATCTTTTCTCTGTTTATCATCGTGTTAATGATTGGTCCAATTGTAAGGGTTAGTGGTGAGTTAATTAAGTGTTTGATCATATGGATTTCGAATGATGTTATAAATATCCAAACGGCCCTTGGCAGAAAAAAGATTCCCCACCCCTGAAAACCAACATGAACTAAAGATCTATTTATTTGTTAATTAATTTAACAAATGACACATTAAACTGTTATGAATATATGACCTGCCATTTAGAAAAAATTAATTTATCTCTTTTGAAGGTATTTGTATTATCTCAGGTATCTTTTTTCATTTTGCCTATTTGGGGATTTTTAGCAAAATGGATAAAGGTACATCAGAGAAAATAATTAAGTTAATTAACTGAAATTATGACTGTCATAATTTCATGTTTTTATTATTATCATGACAATGTGGCATTTCATTTATTAGGCAATTATTCGATTCTTTACTGGCACTATATCCTTTTCTTAATTCTATAAGTTTATTAAACAATTAAACAAACATATCAAATGTTCTACTGTATTTTAAATGACAATAAAAATGAGAGAGCTGTAAATTTAAAAGGACATTAAATTTTCATGATACATAAATTACAAGGGTAAGTCACAAAACATAATTGACAGAATATCTGACTTTTATAACTTTTCCCTTCTTACAAAATAATCATCCTCATTATTTTAAACTTGTGGAAAACCCCCCAGATAATTAGAAAAGGAATAAAACAATGAGTAATAGGTTTACCACCCCAAAACCAACTATTGCTCATTGTAGTTATCACACTACTACTGAAGCAGTTCCTCATTCAAAATTACAGGGTATGAGAATTTGTCCAGACAAAAACCTGTACATTAATGTTTGAAGTAACTTTATTCATAATTGCTAAAATTAGGGCATAAAGGAAGAAAAGAACTCATCAATATAAACAAAACAAAATAATGAAGCCCCAAGAAAAGCCTTTTCCCCTTAATTAATGAATAACAAAAAGAAGTCTAGTCTGATTTGACAATATCCACTCTAGCTTGTAGGGGAATAAACTAGTGACCCCTACTTTACTCGCTGGACCAGGAGAGAACAAATGGAGAACAGTGCAGGATGTGGCCCTTCCTTACGGGAGGGATACCAGGAGAGACTGAACTTCCCACTAAGAGCAGTCCATTCTCCTTGCTAATATACTGTCAGGGGAGATGAAAGTGGATTTTGGACTCCATCCTCCACCTGATTGATTGGAGATTTGGAGAGAATTTCAGAGGGATGGACTTGTACAAAAGAAAGTTCTGGTAGGTCACATAGTGATCCCACATAAAACTGACCAAAAGGTCAGAGAAATGTACTACCATGTGGAGTCTATTCATGGTTCCCATTGGCCTCTAGGAAGCACACCAATGAAGCAAATCAGCAGAGCATGGCCACAGCTGCAGAACGAACCATCACTGGAACCACCGTCCACAAAAATAGGCTCTGAACCTGTATGGTCAACCTAACCAGAGTGACTGCCTTCCAATTTTTCTTTTCTTTTTTTTTTATAGGAACCTAAGTTTCATAACATCATGCCCTAAATGTTCAAGATACAATAGAAAAGTACACATCATACTGAATTATTCTTGTTAGGTGCCATCGGGTCAGTTCCAATCTACAGCAAGCCTAGTCACGACAGAATGGAACACTGTGTGGTCCTGAGCCATCCTCACGATTGTTCTTATGCCTGAGCCTATTGATGCAGCCACAGTGTCCATCCATCTCACTGAAGCTCTTCCTCTTTTTTACCACCCCTCCACTCTACCAAACATGATGTCCTCCTCCACGGAGTGGTCTCTCCTGAAAACACTTCCAAAGGAAAGACGAAACCTTGCCACCCTTGCCTCTAAGGAGCGCTCTGACTGTACTTCTTCCAAGACAGATCAGGTCATACTTTTAGCAGCCCCTGGTACTTTGAATATTCTTCTCCAGCACCACAATTCAAATTTGAGCATCAATTCTTCCCCAGTTGTCCTTATTCAATATGCAACTTTCACATGCATATGAGGTGACTGAAAATACTATGACTTAGGTGAGGTGCACCTTAAGTCCTCAAAGCAACATCCCTGCTCTTCAACACTTTAAAGAAATTTTGTGCAGCAGATTTACCTGATGTAATGTGCCATTTGAGTTCCTGACTGCTGCTTCTGTGAGCATTGATTGCTGATCCATGCAAGTTAAAATCCTTGACAACTTCAACCTTTTCTCTGTTTATCATGTTGGTGTAGTTGTGAGGATTTTTTTTTACATTGAGTGGAAATTATAGCACTCAAAAATAAAATAATCAAAATACAACATTCACTGATGGGGTCAATAGAATGAAAATTACAGGAGAAAAGAATTTGTAAACTTGAAGATGGAATAATAGAATTGAGATTCAGAACCTAATTGCAACAAGAAAAATAAAAAAGAGTGAATAACAAAATATTCATTCCATCAGAATCTCAGAAAGTGAGTAAAAAAGAGTACATGGGTGAAAAAATTCCAGAGAAATAATATTTGAAAAGTTCCTAAATTTGGTGAAAACAGACTTACAGATTCTGTTAAGAAATTAAGCAAAACCTATAGATAATGCCAAGAAAATCAATACCAAAACATATAACAATCAAACCTCTGAAAACTAAAGCCAAAATAACACCTTCAAAGCAGCTAGAAAGAAATGACATATAGCCTAATACAAAACACCAATTATTCAATTGACAATGGACTTCTCATTTGAAACTATGGAAACCAGAAGGAAGTGGACTAATATATTTCAAGTGCTAAAGCAAAATATATATATGTCTACTCAACTTCTATCTCCAGTCAAAATATTCAAGATCTCAGCAAGAAAAACACAAATAATGCAATTTTAAAATGGGTAAAGGACATGAACAGAGACTTAATCCAAGAAGACATTCAAGTGACCAATATACATGAAGATATATGATTAAAAGCCATTTGAGAGATGCAAATCAAAACAAAGAGATACCATCTTACCATAACATTAATAACAAAACAAAAAACAAATTCTGGCAAGGGTGTAGAGAGATGGGGACCCTGATATAGTGCTGGTGGGGCTGTAATATGACACAACCGCTGTGGAAAATGGTATGCCACTTGCTCAATGTGGTAGTTAGATGATTGTATGTCAACTGGACAAATAGCTTGTCTGTCAGTTCGTTGTACTGTGGTGGGCTGCGTGTTGCTGGGATGCTGGCAGCTATGCCACTGGTATTGCAAACGCCAGCAGGGTTCCCTAGAGTGAACAAGCTTTGGCGGAGCTTCCAGACTGAGAACAGACAATGAAGAAGGCCTCAGCTCCCTAATTTGCAGGAAGAAGCCGCCGAAAACCTCATGCCTCTCTTCAAAGCGTTTT